TTTTTTTTTTTTTTTTTTTTTTTTTTTTTTTTTTTTTTTTTTTCAGTACTGGGGATAGAACTTTATTTCCATTTTTACAGTGAGAAATGATTCCAGGATGGGTGGGTATTGCAAGTAAATGGTAGGGCCTGGAGGTGAGCCTCAATTTCTGGGTTCCTCAGCTTTCATATATTTTCTACCAGGTGATTCTGTGCTCCTCGTGCCTTGGTTCCTAAATACAGACGTGAAAAGGATGGCTAGATGGATACATGAGCCTACCCAAGCCCTAGTAAATCAGTGTGTGGGTGTGAGGCCAGGTTTGGGAACCACCACTGCACGATGGCTTGGAAGGTGAGTTAACCATTCTTCCCATCTGGGGAAGGAGATTTGTGTAACAGTGAGGTTGTTTTAGCTTGTGCTTTTGAATGAGCCTTATCTGAATTCAAATTTGATATTTGGGCCTTGCTAGTAATGATCTCCCAGGGTTTATTGTGAAGATGAAATAATACCTATAAGGATAAATTATAAGAAGAACCTCCTCTTTATTTTCTGCCTTCTGTGTCATCTCTGGACTTAGAAGTCTAGGAAGCAGGAATTCCTGGATTCTTCTGTCTTGATGTTGGGCCGAAGTCCCTTGGGTAATAGTCTGCAAGATGAGCCCACACTTTCCACAGAATGGGGACAAGCATTTGACCCCACCCATGTCTACAGACCTTAGCTTGTGGCCTGCATCACAGGAATGAGTGCCCTCAAGGAGGTGTCCCAGCAGGGCAAGTGACCATGGGTGGGCAAATGCTCCCCTTCCTGGCTGGGCTCAGTCTCCCTTTGTTGCCAGTATAAGCCTCTAGAGATTGGGTGGGTGGGTGGAAGTGTCAGAAATGTGACTTGGGAGATTCATTCCTAGGGGTGTTCCCAGAGAGTTGCCTCCAGTAGGAGCCAAGGATTCATACGCCGGGGACACTCTGGGCCTGACACCTGTTGGCCTGTGGGACTGTGCCATGAGGGTGGGGCTGGCAGAGTGGCCCGTGTGGATCCAGCTGTGGATCACCTGATGGCTTGCCTGAGCTTGCACGCAAGTCCCACTGGCTGGTCTCTGGACTCTGGAACAGGGCCCAGACTTCCCCGTTCCCCTCCCTTCCCCTTCCTAGTAGGGGGCTCCCCAGCCCTTGGAGCTGGTAGAAAACACTGGCAACACCCCCTCTACAGAAGGCCAGCCTGGGCTGACTCCCAGCTGGGAGCATTTTTTCCTTGACCTACTTGTTCCCTGCAGCTCACTCTAGCCTGGCTCAGGATCTAGCCTGGCTCAGACAGCCCCAATGGGGCTTGTGTGGCCCTGGGTCCTGGGAAGCCACCTGTGGGAGACTGGGGGTCAGGAGAGGGAGTTAAGGGTCAAGAATAGGTGAGGGAGGCCTTTCTCAGCTCAGGAGATGAGTCACCAGGCCCCAGACTGATGTTATGTCCCAAGTCCTAGGGATTCAGGTGTCTCAGGGAAATCTGTGATGTGGTTGCCACGCTGGAGCCTGGACAGAGGCAGTGGGAGCTGGGATGCGGGTGCAGGGACAGAGCAGTCCCTATCTCCCTGTGGATGGTGTCCCTGGTGTCTGCTTTCTCAGGACAGCTGGGGCCTGTGAAAACCAGGGAAGGAACTTGTGAGAGGAACAGAGAACCTTGTGCTCATGACTCAGGAACGCCCAGGCCAGGGTGGGGACCGTGGGAGGGGACAGCCTTGTGACGAGAGGGAACAAGAGCAGGAGTTGGAGGCAGAAGTTTGAGATGGGGGCCGTCAGAGGGGCTTTTGGGAAATGCAAAAGTGAATGCATGGGCAGATTTTGCAACAGCTCCAGGCCGGCTGTCTGCCCATGTGCGCGCTGGTCCCTGCCCCACCCAGGGCTTCCTCATCTCCCACAGGCCCCACTGCTGCTTCAGCTTTCCCAGCCTGCTCCCAGCTCTTCGCTGTGCCTCCATCCTTCCCTGTGCCCGTTCCTCTCTCCATCTTCCCTTGCTCCCTCTGGCTGCCTGCCCTGGCCCCTATCCTGTGCTTCAATGTGGGCCCTTGGGAACTGGAGTTCACAGCAAAACAGGAAGAGCCCATGAACAGGAAACTGGGAATGGGGCGGGGGTGAATGGCCAGCAGTAACCTCAGCTCCTGCCTCCCTCTGCATCTGGGCAGAAGCATGGTGCAGGCTCCCCCTCTCCCCACAGCACCCCCCAGCTCCTCCATCACAGTCCTCCACTGTTCCAGCAGATGCCACTGGCAACAGGACCCAAGCGTGCTGGACGCTGACATGGAAGGAGAGGAGTTCAGGGACTCCGTGGGGCGCGTGGGTTCTGACCCCAGCGTCGCCATGGCGTGTGGTCTTGGGCAAGGCCCCTGTGAGTGGAGTTATTCCTGCTCCCTCCCTGCTGGCACTGCTGTAAGGACCACAGAGGTAGTGAAGGCTATAGGACTTAGGATTAGCTATGGACAGGTTCAGGACGATAGGGAGACCATAGCTTGGAGGGACTGGGAGAGATGCCAGCTCTGGACATGCTGTAGGCCACACATAGTACAGGGATAGGTTTGATTCTCACAGCAACTTTATGTTGTTATTATTGTTTTTATTACTGTTATCATTATTTGAGACAGGCTCTCATTATATAGTTCAGGCTGGCCTTGAACTCACTTGTGTCCCAGGCTGGCTTCAAATTCTTGGTGCCTTATCCTCCAAAGTACTGGGATTACAGGCGTGCTCCACCATGCCCAGGTATTATTATTATTATTATTAACACTGTTCTTATTGCCCCCATTTTAAAGAGGCTCAGAAACATTTATCAAGCTGATACGGCGGGGCTAGGGTGTAGCTCGGTGCTAAGGTGTTTGCCAAGCATGTGTGACACCCTGGGGTGGATCCCCAGCACTATGGAAAAGGACTGCCGGGGAGTGTCATGGCCAGGGCCTGAACCCACTATCTGAGCCCAGAGCCCAGATGCTAAATGAGCGTGCTGAGCTGAAATGCCTCCAGCTGACAAGTATGAGACAGGAAGAGCCTTATTTTCTAGTTTACTAATTGATTCAGCAGACAGGAGCACAGAACCTAGTCTGTTGCCTCCATTGTGCCAGGTTCTGTCCCAGGGATTCTGGGGGAAAGAAAAATAAATGGAGCCTGGTGTTTTCTCCAGGGATGGACCCCAGGCATGGCTTTAGTCTCAGTGGAACCTGCCACGGCCTCATGTGTCTTTCTGGGCCCATCCTGGGCTGGCTTCTGGGTGCTGCCATCTGCTACCCTCCTGTCCCAAGCCTGCCATTGCCGCCAGCCCCCACTGTGGCCCTGCAGGGCACCCACACAGACTCACTGGAAGGCTGGGCACCTGCCTTTCCACCCTTGGCCTTCTACCAGCTTGGCTGTGTCCTGGGGCTGATGGGGAGAGCTTGGCCCCTTCCCAGAGGCGGGAGGAGGAGGCAGCCTGGGAACGCAGGCTGGGCTCAGTGTCGCAATCATGGCCAGTGCGAGACCTTTGCTCCGAGAGGTGTCTGGAGGGAGGGAGGGAGGGACGCTGACTTCGGAGGCTGCCGGGATTGGGGTGGGGGTGCCTGGGAAGCAGACCTTCTGGGAGAGCCAAACCCTCAGCGCGGTAGAAGCGGGAAGAGGGGAGAGACGGAGTCGCCCCAGTCTGCAGGACACGCGACTGTCGTGCTTAGGGTAGGGGACTGGGTGGTGACGGCTGAGGGGGCGGCAGGCTGGGGAGGAGTCAGCCTGGTGGGGAAGCTACTGAGGCCCGCCGGCCAGGAAGGAGAGGCGGCCCGACCCCTCTGAGGTCCCTCCCCTCAGCCTCTCCCCACATCGCTCCTTCCCTCTGAGTTCAGCGCCAGTCGCAGAGGGGACTGCACCATCCTCCTGTCCCAGCAAGGGGGCTCCAGAGACTGTGCAGCCAGGAAGTCGTGACCTGGGGACGCGGTGGGTCTACTGTCCTGCGGCCTGGGCTCTGCGCATGGTTGGGTGGGTGGCCCCTGAGAACCGTAGAAGGGGATCCTGGGGGAATTGAGGGGTGACCGCGAGGAGCTTGGCAGGGACAGACTTCTGTTTAGGTCCCAGAGGAGCTCTGAGGAGTCCCAGGGGAGGCGGTCCTGTATGTGAATTGGGGAGACACTTGGAGCAAGAGATTGTGCTGTGACCCCAGGAGGCAGGACTGAGATTCTGTGACAAGCAGCCTTCTGTCTGCGCAGGGTGCTGCCCACCTCTGGCTCTCCCCAGTGCTGCAGCGAGGGGCAGGAGCCTGACAGAAGCAGGGCAGATGTCCCCGCCATTCTGATGGCCCCGAGTAGGGGCTTGGGATGAGGGGTGGCGTGGTGGCTGACAGCTCAACTTTGCAGTCAGAGAGACCAGGGTTGCAGTCTTAGCTGTACCATCGCCTGACTGAGGTCGTGGGCCGCGTGCTTAATATGCTTGAGCCTTGATTTCCCCAACTATAGGGGCTTATGAATAGTCACAGCAGGGAGGATTGCAAGTTTGAGGCCAACCTGAGCAGCTTAGTGAAAGGCTTTGTCTCAAAATCAAAAGTAAAAAGGGCTGGATGAGCACTTGCCTAACATGTGCAAGGCCCTGGATTTTATCTGCAGTGTCGCCCCCCCCAAAAAAATGAAGTCCTGACCTGAGGGGATATTATGAGGATGAATGTAAGTCTTAGCATGGGCTGGTATATAAGTTCAGTGCCACCTGCTGAAGAAAGGCAGGAACAAGAGCAAGGAGCTGCGTTCTGGAAGCGTATGACTTGGGTTGTGCCTGCAGGACGGTGCCTTGGTAATGTCCAGGGTTCCAGGAAGAGATGTCCTTGTGGCTGGAGGCCCCTGTGCCTGGTAAGCATCTTCTTCCAGCCCTGTCCCCTGTGCCCAGCCTCCAGCTCCTCTCCCCCACCCGGGACCTGGCCTCCTCCCTGCTGCATTCTGCCCCCCTCCAGACAGCAGTGCACAGCTGTCTCTGGTTTGCTTGCCCCTGCTCAGACCACCCATGCCCTGGCTCCAACCCTAGGAGAGCTGGCTTGTCTAGTGCTTACCAAGCCCTGGCTTGGGAAAGCTCTGATCTCTGAAATGGATGCCCACCAAGGGCAAAGGTTAACATCTTCATTTAAGCTCTTGATGTACAAGGATCTGCACCCGACCAGTCCTAGAACCCTGGCATCCAGGGGCGGGAGCTGGGGTCAGGCACCCTCTAAGGGTGGAGGGCACTTTGCAGTTTCCCAGCCTGGGGACCTCCGTTGGAGGGGCTTTAGATTCCCCTGTACCTCTCTTTTGGGCTCAGACTCTGCAGTGGAGCTGTGGGAGCCAGAGGCCCATGATGCCAGCAGCCAGGCCCAGGGAGGCAGCAGCTGCATCCTCAGCAAGGAAACCAGGATGCCTCCATCTGCCAGGGGAACTTCGGCAATGGGGCTGGAGGGGGAGGAGCCCAGAGCCCTGCTCCCCAGGGTGGAGGCCCTTCCAGAGCCCACAGGTGAGGAGCTCTTGGATTTGGAGGAGATCAGGGCTCCCTGGATCTGTGTTTTAGGGTGACACCTTGAGGTCTTAACTTTTTGGTGGGGGCGGGTACCGGGGGTCAAACTCTGGTCCTTGTGCTTGTGAGGCAGGTGGTGGCACCACTAAGCTAAATCCCCAGCCCCTTTGATCTTACGTGGTCAAGCCCTAAGACTTCGGGGAAACAACCCGAGTTATTGGAATGTGAGTTCTGTTTCTACCTGAGGATTTTCTGAGCCTCTGTTTCCTTGTTTTTTTGGTACCGGCGATTGAACTCAGTACCTTGTGCTTTCAATGCAGGTGTTGGCACCACTAAGCTAAATCCCTGGCTCTGTTTCATTCTTTAGTAAACAAAATGAATAATTATGATTGTTGTAAGGATCAGTGCATTGTGAAGGGCTCCTACAGTACCTCGGAATCACTGCCTTCCGTGAATGAGAGCTACTGGTTTTACAGTACAGAGACCAAGCCTGGTGTGGCGGCTTGTGCCTGTGGTCCCAGCTACTTGTCAGGCCAAGGTGGAGGTATTCCTTGCACCTAGGAGTTTGAGGACAGCTGAATCCCATCTTGAAAAAAGAGAGAGAGAGAGACTAGACTTGATATAATGAAGGGAAAGAAGGTCACTGAGTGCCCACTGCAGTGACTGAGTCTGGTCTTCCCTGACTCCAGAGCTCCGACCACAGAAGCGGAAAAAGGGGCCGGCTCCCAAGATGCTGGGCAATGAGCTGTGCAGTGTGTGCGGGGACAAGGCCTCCGGCTTCCACTACAATGTGCTGAGCTGCGAGGGCTGCAAGGGATTCTTCCGCCGCAGCGTCATCAAGGGGGCCCACTACGTCTGCCACAGCGGCGGCCACTGCCCCATGGACACATATATGCGTCGCAAGTGCCAGGAGTGTCGGCTCCGCAAGTGCCACCAGGCGGGCATGCGGGAAGAGTGTGAGTGTCTCAGGCAGGAACTAGGGAGAGGCCAGAGGGGAGAAGCGGGTGCCTTGCCTGCCGGGGCTCCCAGCTCCCGCAGGCAGGTTTAAATCCCTTCCTTGCTCATACCCACCCTTAAAGGAGCCTCAAGCCACCCTCCGTGCGCCATCCTGGCTTCCTGTGCTCACAGCTGGCCCGTCCCTAGGTGTCCTGTCCGAAGAACAGATCCGCCTGAAGAAGCTGAAGCGGCAAGAGGAGGAACAGGCTCAGGCCATGTCTGTGCCCACGGGGGCTGCCTCGCCCCCCCAGGTCCTGCCCCAGCTCAGCCCGGAGCAGCTGGGCATGATCGAGAAACTGGTCGCTGCCCAGCAGCAGTGTAACAAGCGCTCCTTTTCTGATCAACTTCGCGTCACGGTACTGGACAGGTCTGGGGAGCGGAGGCTGTACCCGAGCCCCATGTGGCTCCTGACGCTCAACTCTAAGCAGTCTGCCCTCTCCCTCCTCGCCCTCCTGGGTAGCCTTGGCCCATGGCACCCGACCCCCAGAGCCGGGAGGCCCGGCAGCAGCGCTTTGCCCACTTCACGGAGCTGGCCATCGTGTCTGTGCAGGAGATTGTCGACTTTGCCAAACAGCTCCCTGGCTTCCTGCAGCTCAGCCGGGAGGACCAGATCGCCCTGCTGAAGACCTCTGCGATCGAGGTGGCTGCAGAGGTGGAGGGAAAGAGAAACACCAGAGAGGGTTGGAGGGGTGTCCAGACATCTGGCCGGGAGAGCCATCACTAGCTAGCAAGCAGGGATAGGGGACTCAAGCTGCCCTTGAGGACCATGCACCAAGAGCACCCTCCTTGCCCTGTGCAGGTGATGCTTCTGGAAACATCCCGGAGGTACAACCCTGGGAGCGAGAGCATCACCTTCCTCAAGGATTTCAGTTATAACCGGGAAGACTTTGCCAAAGCAGGTAAGAGTTGAGGTCACCAAGGCCCTGGGTTGGATGGACAAGATGCTTTCAGTGCTGGGGCCTGTGGTGATCACAGGTGTGGGTCTAAGGGAAGGTGCCACTTGCTTTTCCAGGAGAGGAGACTGAAACATTGTTTTGTTTTTTGTTTTTGGTACTGGGGATCGAACTCAGGCCTTCGCGCTTGCAAGGCAGGCAGCGGAACCACTGAGCCAAATCCCCAGCCCTGGAAGCTGGAACATTGATGGGCCTCTCTCATCCGCTCTGTAGACCCCTGGGGCCCTGCAGTGGGCCAGCTGTTCTGTGTTCCAAGAACCTGAGGGGTTCAGGGGAGCTGGAGGAATGGCCTTCATCCTTAGTTGAGCTAAAAAAGAAGGTCCATTTAAATAGGCATTCTGGCCCGGTGTGGTGGTGCACACCTGTAATCCCAGCACTCGAAGGATGAGGCAGGAGGATCACTGTTAGTTCAAGACCAGCCTGGGCTACATAGTTCCAGGTCAGCCTCAACTGAGACCCTGTCTCAAACAAAACAAAACAAAACACAATCTGTGTTGGGCTTCTGCATAGCATGTTTCCCGAAGAGATCTTCTAGCTAGAAAACAAGTTTGGAAACCATTGCAGCAAGCCTTTCATAGTCAGAATGAACAGGACTTTTTCAGATGTGCTCTTTCAGGAACACGTGGACCAGTCATTCCCTACTCTTTTTTTTTTTTTTTTTTTTTTTTTTTTTGTACTGGGGATCAAACTCAGGACCTTGCATTTGCGAGGCAGCACAGGCACCACTGAGCTACATCCCCAGCAGCTCCCTACTCTTGCAGTCGCTCGTGGAACTTGAGGTGAAATACCACAGGCATCTCCAAATGAGATTGCTGTGGGATTCTGGAGTGGTCCCCATAAGCGATGGTTGGCTGTCTGCTGCTTTCATGGGGCTAAGCAGAGGTTTCCTCATATCCAGCTGCTACTAATTTTTGTGTGTGGAAGCAGGGTTGGGAAAGGTTGGGAGGCTGTGGCATTTTGGAAGGTCTGGAACTGGGACCCAGTAGCTTAACAGCTGAGGGAGGGGGTCTGAAATGGCTCATGCTATGACTCCAGGGCTGGCAGAGCCTGGTTCATAAAGCCTTCCCTGGTTTCCGGTGACTCCGGCAGCTCATGTGTCTCTTGTCCCACCATGGGCCATGCAGTGAGTTCTCTGGGAAGATGTCTCCCCTTAGCTGTAGAGCAAGACGGTGTTGGCCCCTGTTAGCTTCTGTAGTGCCTGGCATGTTGCCTGAATGTGTCAGCAGTCAATGGGAGTCATGTGACGACTTTTGCCCCCTTTTTTGGGGAGGGGCCATGCTGAGGATGAAACCTAGGACCTTTGCACTAAGCTGCATTCCCAGCCGTTTATTTTGAGACGGGGTATTGCTGAGTATTCAGTCTAGCCCAGCTCCCCATCTCTACCAAACCGCGTTTGGCTCCAGTGGTGATCGTCTCAGACCTCCTTTCCTTCTTCAGAATGCCCTCCTCCCTCACCCTTCCCAGCTCTGACATCCCTGTCCCTGCAGCTCTGTGGACTCGTGCTGTCTGAATCTGCACCTATTCATAGATTTCTTTATATAGCAGTTTTGATGTCATCGTGTTTGTCTTTCTCATTTAATCAATGAGGAATGGGGGAAAGGGGACGAGGGCTTTTCTATGTTTATTGTTTTTTTAAAAAAAGTACTTGTTTATTTCTTTGGTCTTTTGCTCTGTTGCTTTTTCCCCTGAGGAGCTGTATTTTTGGGGGCCTCCTTTCTGCTCTACATGCACCGCCATCTGTTGTACATGGTGGGGGAGAATGGGGGGCCAGTGCCCTTCGAGGTCCATCCAGCGAGCATCAGCAGCCCTGCACAGATACATATGCATGGCCCCTTCTAGAGCCTTCTCTGAATCTTTGTAGAAAGGGGCTGCAGGGCATATTTGGGGGCTTAAAACCTCACCATAATATGCTTTATAAAATGGATCTTGCCCATTAAATGGATCAACACACAATACTTGATAACCACCAGGATGAAAGTACAGGAAGCGACTAATTGAGAGGCTTCAAATGGAAATGTGTAGCAGATGGTTTCTGAAAGAACTCTGAGAAAGCCTGGTGAACAGTGAGGTACAGAGGCTTCCACAGGGTGGGGGACGAGTGCTCTGAGGGCATGGCTTTCAGTCACGGCTTGTTGCATTTCAGTCTTCTCTGTTAACTTTTTAAAAATGTAACAAACACATGGTAGAAACCACATAGGACACAATTTATTCTAGGGACTCTTATGAGATAGGTACTATTCTTATCTCCATAATACGGGTGGGAAAACCAAATCCCAGAGGGGTTTAATGAGTGATTATGGTCACACAGCCTAGTGAACGCTGGACAGAACCAGCACCAGAGCCCACACGGGAGGCACCTCCTTGCTGGATTCCCTCTGGGAGGTGACGCATGCAATGGATCCCTTCAGAGTAGTGAGGCCATTTGCCAGCACAAGGGCTTGTCTACAAACGAAAACAGAAGACACTTCTATTTCTCAAAATGTGGAACCCTTAGGCTGGGAATTTAGCTGAGTGGTGCCTGCCTGGCAAGCACAAAGTCCTCAGTTCGATCCCCAGTACCAAAAAACAAAACAAAACAAAAAACACCAAACAAAAAACCGAAAACGTGGAACTCTCAAGAATTATAATAACAGACTATTTTCATATAATTCTCTGGTGCTAAGTACTCTGCACAATTTACAATTTAACCATCACAACAGTGTTATGAGGTTGATTCAGCTATGAGGCTCAGAGGTTAAGAAGTTTGGCTCCACACAGCAGGGCCGCAGAGACTACTTAGTGAGTTCCGTCTAGTTCCCCAAGTTATGGAGCTGGAAGTTCCTGCTGCTTTTGCCACGAGCCTCAGCCTCCCTTCTCCTGACCCAGGGCTGCAGGTGGAGTTCATCAACCCCATCTTCGAGTTCTCCAGAGCCATGAATGAGCTGCAGCTCAATGATGCGGAGTTCGCGCTGCTCATTGCCATCAGCATCTTCTCCGCAGGTGCTCAGGAGAGGCCAGCGGGACCCCAGCGGGACCCCAGCGGGACCCTGGCTCCCGGAAGGGGTGGAGGGGAGCAGCTGGGTGGGACACATGCCTGCCCTGGGGGTGGTGACTGGGGTGCGGCACTAAACCCTGGCCAGACCTGCTTCTCAACTCTTGGTGACCTACAGACCGGCCCAATGTGCGAGACCAGCTCCAAGTGGAGAGGCTGCAACACACCTATGTGGAGGCCCTGCATGCCTACGTCTCCATCCACCACCCCCACGTGAGTGTCCAGCGTCCCGCGGTGCCTCTTCCCTCCGCTGTCACGCCCTGTGCCTCCATCAGCCTCGGTCAGCTCCCCTGCCCCAGACCTCGCAGCAGGCGAGAGGCAAAGCCGGGACTTGGCCCTCTCCCTCCCTCAGGACCGACTCATGTTCCCGCGGATGCTGATGAAGCTGGTGAGCCTGCGCACACTGAGCAGCGTCCACTCGGAGCAAGTGTTCGCCCTGCGTCTGCAGGACAAAAAGCTTCCCCCGCTGCTCTCTGAGATCTGGGATGTACACGAATGAAGGTCCCTGGCTGTCCCCTGGAGGTGGACCAGAAGACAGGAACAAACGTTGCTGGGAACTGAGCAAAGGAGATCGATCCTCCGTGGCATTAGAGGAGCATTACAGGGTTGGGGCTCTGTGGCTGCCGGGCGTGGGGGCCTGCTAAAGCTGTGCTCTGTGTGAAGACCTCCTGCCCCGCTGCGTGACTGACCTGGGGGCCGCTTTGCACAAGGTTCTCCAGGGTTAGCCCTGCCCATCCTGCTTCCACCACTTCCTGTTTTTCTCCACAGGGCCCCAAAAGAAATTCTCCACTGTCACTCTGTGGGTTGGCCATAAATGCCTCGGGGGTGCCACACTGATAGGTCTGGCGTGTTGGAACAGGAAGACACAGATGAACGCAGAGCAATGAATGCAAACCAATTTCTGGGTGGGGGGGCGGTGAGGAGGAGGCAGCCCCTGTCCTGCAGGATCTGCTGCCTCGAGACTCAGTCAAGTCAGAAGTGACAGCCAGAGGGGAACTCCTTTTTCTAGCCCCGTTGTGCCCTGTGGATCGATGAAATGCCGAGGCTTAACGACCCTCTCCTCTTTAATGATCCAGTGGTCGTGTGTACATAATGTCTTAGTTTTTCCTTTGGCATCTGAAAAAGGCATAACCTGAAATACTCAGGGCCGGGTAGTCTCTACTTCCAGTCTCCAGGCCCTGTGGGTTAGAAAGAAAAGCCGCATAAACCAGGCGAAGCACTCCCCGCCCCCGCGCGCTTCGCGCGCGCCTCCCCGCGGAGCGTTGAACCCTCAAAAGCCTGGACTCCACTTCCCAGCAGACGTCGCGGCTCAGGCCACGCCCCCTCCTGGGCGCACGCCCGGGCAGGTGCGCCTTCGCCTCTGTGCACCCCTATCGCCCAGAATTGGTAGGCTCCAGTGTCCGGGCTGTCGACTGGGCTGCGCAGGCGGCTGGACGCTTCCAAGTCGCGTGCGGGGGGGGGTCGAGGTCAGGTGTGAGGAGCGGGCCGGAAAAAATCGCAGGAGCGGTTTATTTTGAGAAGTCATTTTCGGATTAAACAACCTGTCGTCGA